CAGAAATTATTTGGCTTAAGTCCTTGCTTTATGTTTTGTCAATTCAGGTCTGACTCGAAACTGATAAGAAGGTAGAGCCAAAGATAGAACTTCTCAGGTTAAAAACAAAAACAAAACCCCTCCCACCCCCACCCCCACCCCCACTAAACAAAGCAGTGGAAAGAGTCAGGAGACCCAGATTTCAATCCCAAACCTCCTATTTGCCTTTGGTGAGACTTGAGGGAAATCTTTTAATATCTCTGGGGCTCAGTTCCCTCCTCTGTAAAATAAAGGCTTTGACTAGAGGGCCTAAGGCAGTGCTTCAGCTCTGAATCAGGTCGTATAGAAATATTTAAAGTAGATCTTAAAAATGGCAGTTGAGTCTAGACCATTCTCTAAATGTGTTATTGCCAATACCTGAACCTGTAATTTATAAATGAATGAGCTTGCTGTTCTAACTTCAGAAACTGTACTACAGATCTAGAGGTTTGTGTTTTTTTTTTTCCTGGCCTAGAATGCTATTATAAATGATCAGATTTTATCATTTCAATGAAAGAAAAATCCTTGCCAACGTACTGGTTTCAAAGAATATTTAATTAATAGGGAACTCAATATGAAATTAGCCAGTTTTGGATTCCTTAAGGGCCTCTGGTTACCAGAAGAGCCTTGTTTAGGATCAAGGAATTTAGAAGTGGGAGCAACTTTTAATAATTAATCCAACTCAGGTTAAGCGACTTGCCCAGGGTCATTCAGATCATAAATATCAGAGGCAGGCCTCAAAGCCAAGTCTTTTGACTCCACATTGTAGAATTTCAGACCCATTTTGTGAACCAGAGTCCTCTCTGCGGCAGCATCCTTGACAAGTGTGGTCAGCTAGCCTTTATTTGAAAATGTCCAGTGACAGGTGAGCTACCAACTTCTTAGAGACCCATTACATTTGAGACAGCTTGTATTGTTCAGTTTTCCCTTAAATCAAGCCTACTTATGCCTCTCTGGCTTCTACATGTGGCTCCAAGTTCTGCCCTCTGGGGACAAGCAAAACAAATCTCCTTTTTCTTGATGTATTCTGTCATGCAGTCAATCTAGCCTTCTCACTGTTTCTTCAACATGACATTCCATTTCCCATTTCTTTGCCTTTTAGAGTCTCTAGTTCCTTAAAATCTTTCTTTCTCCCCTCTGCTTTTCTGAATCCTCCTTATCATCTTGTATCATTTTGCACATGCCCATAATGTACATATTGTCTCCTGCTTACATTGTAAGCTTCTCTAGGGCAGAGACTGATTGTGCTTTTATTCTTGTGTTTCTTGGTACTTGGCACATACATATATAACAGGCTTTTAATACCTGTGTGATCTTTGGCAGTGGCAGTTCAGCCTGTTGGGGTCTCAGTTTTTTCATTTGTAAAGATATACGCACCTATGCCTTTTCTTCTCAGGCTAAACAACCCCCACTTCAATTTTCCTCATATGGAATGATCTTGAGACCTTTTACCGTCATAACTTCCTGTGGATGTTCATAAGTTTGTCAGTATTCTTCCTAAAACATAGTGATAAGGACTGAACGCAGAACCCTGGGTGTAGTCCAATCGATACAGTGACTGTTTTAATTAATTAGCTGTTTTGACTGTCTCATTACCCTTTTCGATGATAGCAGCCTTATGATACACCATCTTTTCATAAGAGCTGCTGTCTTAGACACCATCTTCCGAACCAGCTGTTCACTTCCTTTCTGGTATATACCTGGAAATGATCTACAACTTTTACCCCTGTGAACAGAAGAAAAATCTCTGGGACAGTTCTGTACCCATCTAAAGCTGCACTTCCAATATGGATCAGAGTCAGATTGCCAGTTTTCTCTCTTCATGACATAAAATTTGAACTTTAAGATACTTTATATCAAGATGATAGTATCTTTAAGTTTCTGAAAAACTTTATCATATCTATTACTTTGCTCAGGTCAAACTGTGATTGTTCTATATAAAAATGACAATAAAGATTCTGAACTTTTCCCATCTAAAAGATACATTCAGTTTTGTGAGGCAGTGGTGTGATGGAAGGAGCTTTGGACCAACCAAATAACATGCAATCATTTAACACTTTCCTTATGAAAGACACTATGTTAAATGTGGGGAATACAAAACCAAAACTAAAACAGTCCCGTCTCTTAAGAAACATGTCTGTTGTATAGGGCGGAGACAACATGTACAAAGATGGGAATATATAGAATAAATAAAAACAACTAAAGGTAGTTTAGGTATGGGAATACATTAATGGTTGCAAGGATCAGGAAGGTCTTCATCTAGAAGGTAGTTCATGAGCTGGGTCTTGAAGCAAACTGGGGATTATGATAGGCTGAGTCAAAGGAGAACAGCCAGTACAAATGCTCAGAGATGGGAGAGAGTATCATGTGTGTGGAACAACAGGTAGGTTGGTATGTCTGGATCTTGCTATGAAGAGATTTAAATGTCAGACATAGGAGTTTGTATTTGATCTTAGAAATAGGAGGAAGCTCCTGGAATTGATTAAGTGGAAAATTAATGATTAATAATCTTGGCTTTGTGGAGACTTTTCTGGAAAGAGGAGAAGTTAGAGGTGGGGAGAGCAAATAAAAAAACTATTGCAGTTGCCCAAATGAAAGGTGGTAAGACCATGTGAGAGTGGAGAAGAAGAGAGGGATTTGAAATAGCAAAAAGAGTAGATTTGTAGAGAAAGATAATTCTGCTTTGGACATGTTGCATTTGAGATGCTGTGGTAAATTCATTTTGAGATGTCCAGTAGTTAGTTGGAAATGTGAGTCTTGAGGTTAGAGCTGGATAAGTAGAACTGAGAATTATCAGTATAGAGATGATAACTGATTGCATGGGAGCTAATGAGAGATCACCGGGAAAAATAGTATGTGTAGAGAAGAGAGGGCCATGGGGTACACCCAAATGTGTAATGGCATTTGTAACAAAAGAAACTGAGGAGTGCAATTAGATAGGTAGGAGGAGAACCCAGAGTGAGCCTGAACATTCCTTGTGTTTTCCCATTTTTCCTGCTTTTGCTATTCTCTTTCAGTGTTCCTTTGCTCTGGTAAATTCACATATGCTTACTTTGATTGGGTGCCTTGGTGGTTTCCAAGGCCTGTTGTCCAGCTTTTTGTCAGCTTTGTTCAAATGAACCTGTTACGTTAGCAAGCATTAAGTACCTACCAGGTACTGTGCTAATAAGCTTTGGAGGTACAAAGAAAGGCAGAACCATAGTCCCTGCTCTCAAGGAACTCACAGTCTGATGGAGGAGACAACATGCAAACTTTAGCTGTATACTGAGAAATTATACACAGGTTAAATTGGAGGTAATCAACAGATGGAAGGCCACTAGCATTATGGGGAGAGGAAAGGCCTCAGGTAGGAGTGGGATTTTAGCTGAGACTTCCAGGAAGATGGGGGCTAGAGATGAGGAGGAAGAGATATTCCAGTCACAGGGAACAGCTAGTAAAAACACACAGTTGGAAGACATTGTGTCTTGTTTGAACAATAGTGAGGAGGCCAGTGTCACTGGATTGCAGAGTATGTAGAGAGTGAAGTGCAAGAAGACTGGGAAAGTAGGAAGTGGGTAGGTTATAGAGGGTTTAAAAGCCAAACAACATTTTATATTTGATCCTGAAGATAATATATGGGGTCATTGGAGTTTTTACATAGGAGGATGGCATGGTCAGATTTGTGCTTTATGAAGACCATTTTGGTAGCTCAGTGGAGAATGTGCTGAATGGAGAGAGGCAGGTGGATCAACTAGAAGGCTCTTGTAAGGGATAAAAAGTGAAGTGATGAGGGTCTGAACTAAGATGGTGGCAGTGTTGGGTAGGAAATAGATTTTTTTTTGTATTTGTAATTGATGTAAATATGTGAATGATTAATACTTTGTGAAGGGAAGCAAAAATTTAGATTGTGGTGTTATGGAGTAGTAGTAAAAACAGATGAGTACCATGACTTAAACCAAACATGTAAATTATTACCAGTCTGTATCTCTTATTTGTCAATCTTGTGGCATGTCTTATACTTTTGTCTAAACTCAAATTTAAAATATTGCTATTTATTGTTATTTAGCATTTCAGTATAAGATATCATTACTGTTATTTTTTCCCCCTGATTTTAAGGTATTATCTTATTATTTAAGTGTTGTTTCCCTTAGATAGTATTTTCTTTCTTTCTTCTTCTTTTTTTTTTTAAAGGCAATTGGGGTTAAGTGACTTGCCCAGGGTCACACAGCTAGTAAGTGTTAAAAGTGTTTGGTCTGAGACTGGATTTGAACTCAGGTCCTCTTGACTTCAGGGCCGGTGCTCTATCCACTGTGCCACCTAGCTGCCCCTTTAGATAGTATTTTCTTTGTACTTCTACTAAATTCTCTCCCTCTCTCTCTACCAAGCACCTATTACTGGGCTCCATACACAATAGGTACCAAATAAGACATTTGTTTTTTAGCAAAAACACTGAACTGAGAGTCAAGGACAACTAGATTCTAATCTTGGTTTTGCCCTTAACCTTTCTTTGTGATCTTGGGGAAGTCATTTAACCTAAATGGGTCTCACTTTTCTCACTGCAAAATGAAGCAGTTGTCTAGATTTCCTTAAATGTTCCTTCCAGCTCTGTCAATTTTTGATTCTTGGATAGTTGTATATCACATCCTAGAGATGAAAATAATTAGATGATCTAGAATGGTGTAGAATATGACTCTGGAGGGGCTATCATAATAGTCTTAATATAGGCTGTGCTTTTCTCTTAAATCTAGCTGGTATAAAACTTGAATGTGGTTTATAATTGGTAGAATTTTTCCATGTATACTTATGTGCTTTTTCCCTCCTAAAATTTATCATTTTAGGAAATGTGGTTTTTATTTGGTGTATGCTTGCAGTTAGAACAGTATGGTAACTTCGGAAGAATTAAATGTTTATCATTTATAGTGAATTTCTTAAACAGAATTGATGTATAAAATTGTCTCACTCTTTTTTACTAGAATATAATGATTATCTTTTCTTCTTTGTAGTTATACATGGGAAGCAGTTGATATTGAAAGACGTATACTTTATAAGATAAACCTCTGTGGAAATATGTCTTTTCCCAAATGTGAGTCTAGTGCCATCTGTGCACATGATTTGAAGAATTCATCTTATCATTCAGTAGGTAAGTTAATCCACTCTTTTTTTTTTTTAATGTTTGGTGCTAAGTTTTAATCTGTTTAAAGTAAGTTCTAAAGTCTCTTCTCCATTATAAACATTTGCAGTGGTTGTATCTTAAATGTAAAGTTGTTCATTCTCTCATTGGCTTCTATATTTTTGTAACTACTTAAAAATTAATGTTCTTGGAATTTTTTGTTTGTCACATCTGTCATTGGGTTAGAAAAGCTAAGTGATGGTCCTTTTCAAAAAAGTCTAACTGTAAGATTTTTGAACATTTCACTAACATTCTTTAATAGATAGTAGATAATAATAGATATTATTTAATAGATCAAATTATTTAATAATAATTTAATAGATAATAGAATACTTTATCACAACTGCATAATAGATATTTAGTGGATTAAATTATTTGATAATAATAGATAATAGAATACTTTATATCACAACTGCATTTTCAGAATTCAATTTTATTTTATTTTCATGACACTGCCTTTTCTCCTTTCTTCTTTACTCCCTCCCTCACTGAGAATGCAAGAAAAGCAAAACTCTTGCTACAAACTGGTATAGTCAGGTAAAACAAATTGCCACCTTGGTCATGTTCAAAAACACCCAAAACAAAACAAACTGTGCACTTGAGTGCATCACCTAACTCAAGCAGTGGGTTCCATGTTTCATCGTGAGTCCTTTGTAGTTATGGTTGGTCATTGTGTTAATCAGAGTTCCTAAGTCTTTTGAAGTTGTTTGTCTTTATAATATTGTTATTATATAAATTATTCTTCTGGTTCTACTCACTTCACTTTTCATTAGTTCATAAAAGTCTTCCCAGGTTTTTCCAAAATCATCCCCTTCATAGTTTCTTACAGCACAAAGTATTCTACTACATTCATATATACCATGACTTGTTCAGCCATTCTCCAATTGATGGGCGCTTCCTCAGTTTCCAGTTCTTTGCCACCGCAAAAAGAGCCGTTACATGTATTTTTGTACATGTGGGTCCTTTTCCTCTTTTTTTTTTTTAATCTCTTTGGGAGTATTGACCTAATGGTATTTCTGTGTCAGAAGGTAATGCACAGTTTAATAATTTTTTGGGCATAGTTCCAAATTTCTTTCCAGAATGGCTGGACTAGTTCACACTCCACCAACTGTGCTTTAATGTACCTATTTTTCCATAGCCCCTCTACCATTTGTCATTTTTTCTTTTTTATAAACTTTACCATTCTAATTGGTGTGAGGTAGAACATCAAGAGTTTTTAAATTTGCATTTCTCTGATTAGTAGTAAAGAATAGATAGGTAGCTCTGTGGATAGAGTGCCATGCTTGGAATCAGGAATACCTGAGTTAAAATCCAGCCTTAGATACTTACTAGCTGTGTGGCCTGGGCAAGTCACTTAACCCTGTTTGCCTCAGTTTCCTCATCTGTTAAAACAAGCTGGAGAAGGAAATGGCAAACCACTCCAGTATCTTTGCCAAGAAAACCTCAAATGGGGTCACATAGTCAGACATGACTGAAATGACTGAAGAGTAACAAAAATTATTAGTGATTCAGAGTGATTCAGATTCCCCCATATGGCTATCGATAGATTGGAGTTCTTCCTCTGAAAATGGCTTGTTCACTTTCTTTGACCATTTATCAGTTGGTAGTGGCTCTTATCCTTCTAGATTTGAGTCAGTTTCCTGTGTGTCTTAGAAATGATACCTTTTTCAGAGAAACTTTTCCCCCTGTTTACCTGCTTCTCTTCTTTTTAATGTTATGTAATCAAAATTGTCCATTTTACCTTCTGTGCCCTTTCTTTCTCTTGTTTAGTAATGAACTCTTCTCTTGTCTGTACATCTGATGGGTAATTTGGATAGTGAGACTGGAAAAGTAGGTTGGGATTGGCTCGTGGGAAGGGCTTTAACTGCCGAGCAGAGGAGTTTATATTTTGACCTAGAGGAAATAGGGACCTAGTGGATGTATCATGCTGAGGCTTGTGCTTAGGGAAAAATCACTTTGGTGGTTCTGGAGGGTGGATTAGGCTGGTTAGAAGCTCTTGACAAGGAAGCTAATGCTGATGAGAGTTTGAACTAGTATAGTGCCTATGTGATCAGAGAGAAGATCAAGGGAAGAGATGACAAGATTTGGCAACTGGCTTGGAGGGGTAAAGAAGGTTGAGGAATCAAGCACTGGTCTTTGGTTGTGTATCTGAGAGACTAGAAGGATGATGGTGCCCTGGAAATAAATGGGGACATTTGGACTTCCCTTTTGTACATATTGAGGTGCCTGTAAGACATCTATTTTGAAAAGTCTTTTTTTTATTTTTAACTTTTTTTGCTTTTTGGTGAGACAATTGAAGTTAAGTGACTTACCCAGGGTCACATAGCTATTAAGTGTTAAGTGTCTGAGGCTGGATTTGAACTCAAGTCCTCCTGACTCCAAGGCCAGTGCTCTATTTACTGGGCTGCCTAGCTGCCCTCATTTTGAAAAGTCTTAACAGTCATTTGATTATGTTGACTAGATTTGTGCAACTGGGAGCTATTTGCATGATAATTAAACTCATGTGGGCTAGTGAGGTTATCTAGAGAGAGGATCTAGTGAGAAGAAGGCCCAAGATAGACTCTCTTGGTACATCTAGTCTTGGTGTTTGATATAGATGATGCAGTAAAGGAGATTGAGAAGACGAGGGCCGATTGGGAGGAGCAGAACCAGGAAAGAACAGTTTTGTGAAATCTCATAAGAAGAGAGAGTCTTTAGGTGCAGAGAGTGACTGGTAGTGTCATATTCAGCAAAGAGAATGAAGGAGGATAAGTGTTGAGAAAATACTGCCAGATTTGGCAATTAAGAGGTAAATAGCCTTGGAGAGCCAAGTTTGATCATTCTTATTACTGTGTTTTTTGTTTTGACAGTGTTGTTGCATATTTTGTCTTTTGTTGCTGTTTGCTTCACTTTGTATTAATTCACAAGTCTTCTCATATTCACTTTCTTATGACACTATAATTCCATACTGTTACATGGGACACTTATAGGCCACAATATCTAAAGCTATTCCCCAGCTGATGGGAATCAACTTTGTTTTCAGTTACTTGGTACTACAAAAAGGACAACTATGAACAATTACTGTAAATGGGACCTTTCTTTCTATCTTTGACACGAGGTATATAGGTCAGGGACATCATACAATATTGCTATTGTACCTCTCACAGTGCCAATTGTACGGCTGAATAATTTGTAAGTGAAGTGTTTAATAATTTAGAGTACCTTTTGAATTGAAATGCATTGAGTTCTACCTTCTAATCAAAGAAGTGTAAAAGATGAACAAACTACTTAATTTATTGAATTGGCCTTTAAAAATATAAATTTATAAATTAATTACTTGTGTCTTTTCCCAGATTACTATTTATTTGAGTAGCCAATTATGTGAAAATAAAATATTGAAACATTTATGTGCAAAGACTCTGATGTTTCTGGTAATACTAGAAATTGTACTTAGATAATCTCACAGTGGTTATGCAGTACAAGAAAAGATGATCATGAGCCTTCAAGTAATATTCTGCAAATTTCTTTTTTTTTTTAATCTGCATAGAGGCCACTGCTAGTTTCTCAACTCTCAGCAAAACTAATGTATGAAAATCCAGATTTCTGTAAAAGAGGAAACTAGATGATGATTTGCTTTATAACTGGATTTTTCTCTGTACAGATGGATGAACTACAGGATTCTTCGTTAAAAAATTTTTAATTAATGCCCTTTTTATTCACTTATTTCCAAATGTATCCTGCTCCCCAGCTCAAGAGAGCCATATCTTTCAACAGAAATTGGAAAAGAAAGAGTAAAAAGTGCAGTTTAGTAAAGAGCAGTTATCTGACACTGAATGTATTATATCATATATAGTGCTTTACTTAAGTTATCACTTTATTTTTATTCTTAATAAACACCAAATAAAATGGACATTTTCATATATGTAGTAGAACAAAAAAAGAAATGTATATGAAATTTTACAGATATTGTGAACAACTTGCTATTAATAAGTTCAACCTGTAGCTTTTAAAGCTGTCTGGCTCATCTGCTTTAGGCTCAATGACTTTGATCTTTTCTTTTCACTTTCCTGCTGTATTATCTCCCCTTGTCCTCTTTGCCCACCTTTGCCCACCTTATTCCCTCAAAAAAAGAAGCACAGAGCCCTTGAAACAGCTATACATAATCTGAAAATAGATGTCTTATTCTGCATCTTGAGTCTGTCGCCTCTCTGATTAAGTGGATAGCATGCTTCATTACAAGCCCTCTCAAATTTTAGTTGGTCATTGTGTAACTTAGAGTTTTCAAGGAAAGTTGTTTATCTCCATAATGTTAATATTGTATAAATTGTGGTCTGGGTTCTGTTCACTCAGCATCATTTCATACTAGTTTTCCCAGATTTCTCTGAAGCATCCTTATCATCATTCCTTACTGTACACTAGTATTCTTTTACATTCATAAAACATAATTTGTTTAGTCATTTCCTTATAGTTTATTCCCCTTTGTTTCTGATTCTTTGCTACTAAAAATACTTTTGTATGTAATGAATCTTTTTTCCTCTTTCTTTGATTTCCTCGGGGTAAAAGCCTAATAGTGGTGTCACTGGGTCAAGGAGTATACATAGTTCAGTGACTTTGGATGGGAGGAATAGTCCCAAATTGCTTTCTTGGTCAGAATAGTTATAGTATGTTCAGTTTTGTTTCATTATTTTTCTTGTTGCTTTATTGCCATGTATATTTTTTTTTAAACTTCTGAGTCAATTCATATAAGGCTTTCTTTGTTTTTCTGAATTCTTAATGTACTGCAAATGAGAGGCTTTTTGGCATAGGGGATAGAGAAATTTATAAGTCAGTCTGCAGCGGGTTCCATTCCTTCCTCCAACACATAGTAATCTTGGGGTTAGCTTCATAACCTCACAGTGCCACCAGGAAGCTCTCTCTAAGAATATCAGTTGCAGAGTAGGTGAGCCTATCCTGCATTGCTGAGTTTTCCCTTTGGAACTTCTCGAACCCAG